AAAGGAAGCTGGAGAGAAATACCACTGATATTTTCATTTCATCTAGTAACAGCCGTGGAAGAAGCCACTCTCTAACATTCATTAAGTAATGTGTTCAGGCCCGGCCAGTGTGGCTCAGTGGATGAGCATCAACCTATGAACCAGGAAGTCATGGTTCACTTCCTAGTCAGGTCACATGCCCGGGTTGTGGACTTGATCCCCAGTCAGGGTGTGCAGGATGCCACGCCGATCAATGTTTCTCATCACTGATGTTGCCATCTCTCTCTGAAATCAATATATTATATATATATAAGCAATGTGCTCAGTATTATATGAAACAAATTAAACAAACATGGCTCAGGCCTACAGGGAGCCTGCCCCTCCTGCTTCTTCCAGCCCAGTGAACCATGATGCTTTCAATCAAGGCTGTCAGGCTCCCTGATGCCAGCAGGTCTTCGCTCATGCAAATGAAGATAAAGTATCCTATTAAGCTCACTAATTTTTAAATAGCTTCCAAGTTTTGCCTTTATTGGGCCCTGAAATTAGCCATGGTTGCAAAATGACTTCTAAGGAGCAGAGGCCCCTTCCGCTGATCGAAAGAGCAGCCAGAGTTTCCACCAGGCGCCCTGTGCCTTCGAAAGAGCTCCATCCCTCCATGCACTGTTGCCGCCCCCGTGAGCGCTGGGTCTTTCACGGGTGGACAGAAAGCCACATGCTCCGAGGACAATGGAGGGCCGTTTGGTTTAAGGTCTCCCTGGGCCTGTGTCCCCTGGCGAGGAGGCTAAGTGGGCCTGCACCTCAGGAACAAGAGGCACCTCTCCAATAGTCGCTGGCTCAGAAAGAATAACACTTTGAAAGCAAGTTAATGATGTGAATTAAACGCAGCTTGTTTCTCCTCTTTGAAGTTCTTTTTTGCTCATGCCTGGAGGAGGGTGATTTACAGACACATTTTTCTCTCTTTAGAGCAAATTAATTCCAGTTGGTGTTCCGGGCAGACATGGAGAGAAAGCAGTCCTTCCCCGTCGCGCTGACTGAGGGCCTCACTGAGCCTCGTGGTCTCGCCATGATCTCGCCATGGTCCACAGGGAGCGACAAGGAGCCTGGGGTTGCTTCTGATGCATCTGCTCTCCAAAATGTCTAGTATCAGTTTATGAGCTGCACTGTCAACCCGTAGATGAAGCAACCACTTCTTTTAAAGATGGCGTCAGGATGACAGGGGAGACAAAGCCACATCCCCAACCAAGTGAGAAGAGCTTTCTAAGCGCCCAGCTCCAGTCCTCGTGCATTAAGCCATTGGCTTTGGAGCCATAAGACATTAATGCAGCTTTTCACCATGAATGGTAATAATAGTCATCATGTGTTGGGCACTCACCGCAGCCAGGCAACTCTGCTAAAGATTTGAGGAGGATTACCTAATTAAACGCTCAAAACAACCCTATGCAGTAGGTACTATTATTGCTTCCAGACTTCCTTGCATGAAAGTTGGGACACAGAAGAGCTGCTCCAGACCCTTTGAGAGTTAGGCTACCCTCATCCATAGTACTCGCAGGTCAAGGATGTTTAGTTCCAGGGCATTTGCACCAAGAAGCTGAAAACCCTCTCAAGTTTATTTATTTTCCAAGGACGATTCTACAAATTAGTGGCATTAATTGTTCAGTCTCCCAAAGATTGCAAGGAAATTAAGAGTTCAGAAGGAAGGAAAAAAAACTGTCCTCTTCTTGAAATATCTTCTTCTTCTTCTTCTTCTTCTTTTTTTTTTTTTTTTTTTTTTGTGGTGGTGGAGACAGGAAGGGTGGGTGGGTATTATATTAAAACTGCAATGGCCCACAGATGCTTTAAGAGTGCATGTAGGTAACTCCAGTTGGATTTCTGGTAAAGTAAACTACCCCTGGAAGTGATCTAATTTACACACCCACCCCTCTGATGGGAAGATGAGAAGCAGAAGGCTTCAGACATTAAAGAGCATGTTTGGAATCATCCAGAGAGAGGCAAGGCCCGCCATGACTACTTATTTACCGAGTGCCTTCCACTTCTCCATCCTGCCTTGAAACAAAAGACCAGATAGAGCAAACCAGCCTGCAGAAACATGGCTTTCTAAGAACAATAAACCATCCAGGCTTTATTTATTTATCGAATCTGAGGTCTTCCTTCTAGGTGACGTGCCCCCAGATTCAACGTATCCCATGGAGCCTTTATGAAGGGCTGCCTGCCCGGGCTCAAGTCTTCCTTCATCACTTGGAAGGCACAGGTTTCCTTAAACGTATCCATCCTGGCAGCAAAGCACGTAAAAATGAAATGGCCCTTTCCTACCCACATCGGAAATTACATGCGTGGAAACCACCAGGCAGACGTGAAATAGACAAACTGTCCATCCGGAATTTGGCAGCTTTGCTGGAAGTTCACCATCATAGTTCCCAACATCCCCACATTATTTGCAAGACAAGGGATTACACTCTAGGCCGATGGCTCTTCTGTGGACGGGGGAGACTGGGCATTCTCCAAGATTGCTATCAAGAATGATGGGAGGGTCTCTTCCTGCCCCTTTGAAATAGGTTAAAAGGCAGAGAATAGCAGGGAATTATTGGTAGAGATCCCAAATAATCCCAGCGAGATAATTAGCTTTTCAGCTTTAAAAAATAAGCAGTCAGAATGCCCTTTCCAAATGGCTTAGAAGAATGCAGGCTGAAGAGAGGGGAGCTCCCAGATCCATTAACTAGTGATTTCCTTGGAAAACAAAGTCTATTTTTCATGGTGAGTCCCTTGGAGTGGACATCTGTGATTTGTGCTGGCCCAGAATCCTCCCAGCCCTCCCTCATCACTTGGGTATCATCACTTGGATTGTCCTGTCTCCACTCATCTCCCAGGCCTGCAGTTCAGGGGGTGAGGGCCACACTGTGATCCCTCCCTCAGGTTCCACTCTGGCCAGTTTGATATCCCACCCCCCAACACCAGTTATTAGTTTTAGAATGGGCATGGGATTCAAATGGATCATATGAGATTCAGGAATATGGGTTGGATTATTGGGAAAGATAAGTTGAGCTGGTAGGCTATACCAGAGCTCTGGAGGGGGTGGAGGGGCAAGGGCACAGGTGAAAGAATTTACACGAGAATAAAACCAGTGAGGTGCAAAACCAAGTGAGTAGATTGAGAGATAATGAATGACAAGATTCCGATGACTATGTTTGAGCACCATATCCAGCCTTATCAAGTCAGTCTGCCTTAAGCCACCTTGAATAGGGTTTCTGTCACTTACAAGCAAAAGGGCCTAGAGTAATATATACCCCTCTTCATCCTCCAAAATCCAGTTAAACTTTTGCCTCCTCTGCTGGCCTTTCACGATGATCCCATATTGAGAAGTAACTATTTGCACTCTCCTGTGCTACTTATTCTTATAGCTGCTTTTCTGATTGCACTTTTCATTCTGTAGTGTACTTAAATTGTTACTTTCAGCTATAGGGTGGAGTCAATGTCATATGAATCATTAAATTTCCAACACTTTTCCAATACCTCTGACATAGTAGATACTCGTACATGTGTTGAATTGAATTTGATTCTAACTACTCTTTCACTGCGCCCTGCAATGATTTCCCATTACACTTAGAATGAAACTGAAACTCTACCATGAGCATCAGGGCCCCACATGACCTGCCTGCCCTTCCCATCTTGGCTTTTTCCTCGGTGGCTTTGTGCTTTCCCTTGAGTACACCATGCCTGTCCCCACCTCAGAGTGTTTGCATTTGCTGTTCCTCCTTCCAGAAAAGCTTTTTTTCCAGATACTACAGCCAACCTTGGGACATTATTTGTCTCCTTACCAAAGAGTCTTTCTCTGACCACTTTGTCCTAAGCAGCACTTTCATCACTGTCTAACCATAACCCTGCTTTTTCCTCCTCATGACACCTGTCATTGCATGCCTATATAGTGCATATGTCTTTTTTATTTATCACTGTCTTCTCTTAGAATATATAAAGGCAGGGAATTTTTTTCTGTTTTGCTCACAACTGTCTTTCCAGCACCTAGAAATTTTTCTGGCCTCAAAATACTGTCAGCTACACATTTTTAAAATAACCTTAAATGTAAATGAAAGAAAAAACAAATCCCAAAATTGAAACCAATATATGCACGTGAACCTATATATTCAACTGTAACATATCACTCTAAAAAGAGAATCAATTCTTATAACCTTTAAACATAGTACTTTTTTTAAACCTGCGGTGAAATAATAACCTAATGATAAAAATAATTACAGCAAAAATATTGACAGTAACTTGGAGGTTTCTTGTTGTGGTGGTAAGTAATTGTGAAACCATTTTGCATACGTTGTAAGACTGAACAAAAGAATAAATACATTGATACTGTTGGGAACCCTGGTCTTTGAAGTGAAAACACACACACACACACACACACACACACACACACACACACACAACAAACAAACAAACAAAAAAAAACCCCTGGTCTTTATAGGGGCATATAAATACAGAATGGGAGGAGGGAAGAAGCTTGTGACATTGAAATAGAATGATGGGATGACTTTATACCATTTTGTTTCCTATCTCTGTCCATAGACCAAATCTAAATGAAATTGCATCCCAGTAGTAATGAGCACATTTAGTGCTCGGGTCTTGGTTTCTATATACCATTCCCTATTAAAAGGAACCAGGATTCCTTGAAGAAATGATTGGTTTCAGGGAAAGCACAGGATAATCCTAGAAATATATTTGTGCCAAAAGTGCAGACGTGCTCAAAGAGATGGAGATCTGTCAAAAGGACATAGGAACCAGACAGAGGGGCACCCATTGATCAAATGTGGGACAATCTGAGCATCAAAAGCAATAATGGTAGCAGGAAATTTTAAAACATCAAACAGAAATTACAACCTATGAGCTCACAGTGATATTTTAAAATGTAAACTACTGAGAAAAATAGGAGTGAACAATCTCTTTAGAAGACTGACAGATGCTATCCGCTAAGATATTCCAGTCCTCTTGGAAGACCACAAGAAAACATGATTTCAACTCACCTCTCCAGTGGCATAGAAGTCATTCTCTTGGTATTCAGGGAACAATTGGAAGAACTGGATCAGGGCGCTGCAAAAAGCACAGCAAGAAAAATCACATGGAGTCGGAAAGGCTTCATGCTACCCAGTCCAAGCCTTGCACATCAGGTTCCACATGTGAGTTGGGTACCATGATGGCGTAAGCTCCTGCAGGCATCGTTGTCCATGTCTCATGTGCACAACACCCCATACTTGATGGTTAGAAAGTACTTATGGTCTTACTTTGTGATACTGAGAAGTTGAGACAAGTGGACATCAACACCCTGGGCATGTTTGCAAATCTCTGGGTTAGCAACTTGGATCATTTACTTTGAGCCCTGCGATCCAGGCTTTCACCTGGAGGCAGTTCTGCAAACCCTGTGACCTCATTAACCCGGGTTTGTGGTGAGGTAATGGGAACCTTCAGTGCTCACCTCCCTCTCCCCGTGGGCAACCCTGAACGTTTCTAATGGGGCTCCCTGCCTGTCAGTGTTTTTAATAACCAAACACAGAAAAGATGTGAAATGACTGTACTCTAAAGGAAGTCACTGAAAGGCCACAGGTATGGAAGGAAATGTACCAGGGCCTCTAGGCTCCAAAAAATCATATTTACTAAAGAATGCCAAAGCCACTTGGTTGAGTTACGCTAAACAGTCTTAAACAGACGCAAGGAAACAAAACTGTGTGAAACTCAGACGCTCTGTGACTGTTTTCACCCAGCTTGCAATGCCTGAGGAGCCAGGCAGGGATTTTGTTCCAACTTCCTGCTGAGGGACTTAAAGCCATGAACCACCCAGGAAAGATGAAAGGCAGGACGCCCTGCAAAATCAGGAGGAGGAGGAAGTTCCAGGCTTACAGAGAGGCACAACTGGGTCATTACAACCCCCATGATCCTGGCTACACTTACTTTCCAAAGGCTCCATAAAAACCCACCATTACACACTACCGTAGAGTTTCAGCGTACTTCTCTATTTATTATTTATAGAAACTAAGATCTTTGGAGCAACTAAGTCTTGGAAACTGCTCTATATAGCTTCCATGTGAGTGCTGACAATAAGCTGGCTTTGGAGCACAGAAAAATATAGGAGTTGATCCTCCTCCCTTCCCTCTCTCACCTTTAGGCTAAAAGCCACTTCCCTTTCGCTCTTCCTGCTAATTGGGAAAACGCAATAGATAATTTAATTTAGTACATTTCAGTTTAGCCATATGCCTTAGGTTAAAGTTTATTTGCTTGGAGAATTTGTTGTTGAGTTGTGAGGGTTGCCAGATTTAGCAAATAAAAATACAAGATGCCCAATTAAATTAGAATTTTAGATAAACAACAAATAATGTTTTAGCATAAGCATGTCCCAAATATTGCATAGGACATACTTAGATTAAAAAAGTATTCATTGTTTACCTGAAATTCAAACGTAACTGAGCACTCTGGCCCTTTATCTGGCAATCTTAGTTGCTTCTAGTTCGAAGGAAGCCAGGACAATCTAGCTGAAGTAACCAATGCAAGGCCCTGCTTGAGGAAGTTATCATAGTTTTAACTTAACAGTAAGATCAGAACAACAACAAAAAGGCTAATAATAGCAAACCCTTGGTAGGTCTTTCTTAAATGGGAATGACAAATAAAAAAAAAAAGATAAATTTAACGAGTTAGATTTACTAGTACATATGGCACTTGCTCATTTAACTGTGTTTTACTCAAAGATTCTTCTTGTCACATGCTAGGTTTGCCTAAAACTATAATGTAACATTATAGTCACATAAAAATTCAAATTTTTGAAGTGAAATTGCTAGAATATATAATACATAATGTGTGTGTGTGTGTGTGTGTGTATGTGTGTATGTGTCTGTACGCACATGAGTGTGCACTAACTCCATGCATGTGTTTAGGCACCAGGAAGCATGCCACTTTCAGGCGATTCTATTTGACAACCTTGCTGGCTTTGATCCAAAACCTTCTCAAATAATTAGAATTTAAGTAAAAAGCTTCCTGATGGCGGAAAGGTGCATTGAAAGACGACAGAAAGAAACAGAGCTTGTAAGAGAAAATGACTGAGAAAATACTCCTCAGACCCAAAAAGGGAAGACAACTTCCGGTCTGAGAAGGTGTGTGAAAATGACAATGCTCAAGACACGGAAGACAGCACTGGGATTGGTCAGGTCTGACAGTGGCAGAGGCACAACAAATATAAGACGTTCGGGAGGACTGAGGTTAAAATAATCTAAATAAAAGCTCCAAAGTCACACAAGCCAAACAAGGAGCATCTTTAGTCACCAATGCTTTCCCAAAACAAGCTGAGCAAGAGGAATCTTAGTGGTTTCGTGCTGTTGCCACAGATGGGGCCCACCCTCTGCGTTCATTCATTCCATCTCTGGAGTGGCTGGGCCATGATCTTCTCCAACCTGTGAGGATCGGGCCACGTTCTCACTGAACACATGGCTCTCTCATAGTCACATGGTTGTGAGACTTTGTGCAGCAATAGACATCATTGCCCATGCACTCCAGCACGTGGAATAGAATAGTGCTACCATTTCCATTTGGCTGTGAGAAAGTAGCATGGAGCGATCGCGAGAACAGGGCCGTGGGCTTGCTGACTCTGTGACCCCAGCGCCAGGAACGGGGTCTAGCACAGGGCAGGCAATCGATCAATAGGGGTGGAATACTCCAAGTCAAAGGTGGTAAAGTTATGATTCGTTGGCACATTTATTTTATTTTCTAAACCGGAGAGGCACTATGGCTCAATAGCACAATTCGAGCTCGAAGAACAGAAACAAAGGAGACACGAACATTTAAACATCTGGTCATAAAAACGTTTCATTTCCAAACACAGAAAAGCAGCCTGAATGTGACTGTCAGATGCTCCTGGAGGAATCTTCTCCTTACAGCCGGGCACTAGTAAGAGCCCCAAGAAATGGGGTTTTCAGAAGAAAGGTGGTTTTCAAAGTGAGAAGGAGAAAGGTTTAATTTTTAAACCGGCAGTAGCCCCCTTACAGGTTTCAAAGAGACCTTTTTTATTCCGACCGCCCATCTGGGGAGCAGAAGAGAAGAAACAAATAGTGTAAACTAGGAAGGGAACAGCTGAAGTCAGTTTTCTGCACGACCCTTGATTAGCTATTTTCCAGTTCTGAGAGCCTAAAGCGAAAGAACTCAAACAGCTATAAACAATGCATGCTTTGAAATAGGTTCCCTTTACATGTCATGCAAGAGGAGATGGACCACATGTCCGCAGTAAATATCCACAAGGAGGGTCAGCTGGAAGCGGGGACCACCCTGGGTGGGGGAGGGGAAGGAGAGACCGAAAAGGAATGGCAGGGTTGCAACCCCCTGGCTTAGAGGGGATTGATGTGTTTCTTTAATACAGAACCTCCGCCCCCGGGGTGTTTGCTAGTTAAACAACTAAGCTGGTTTGGATTTAAACCAAAAGAGAGCCCACAGTCAGTACTAAATGAGAACGACATGGAGCTTGAGCACACTGGGAAGGACAGCCATGGAGAGTGTGTCTGTGCAGGGGGGTGGGGGAAGGAACCAGACCGAGGGGCGGGGGCGGGGACCTCTGCCAGGATCTGCCCCACCTGCTCCCAGAATCCACTGTACCTGGAAACATGAGGGTGGTGCCCTATGCATCCCCCCTGGAAACCGGGTGGAAGTGTTCAAATAGTGGGACGCATGGCAAATGAAGTGTAGGAGACAACAGCCATGTTCTTTTCTGGGTCAGACAGCAGAGGAGAGAGTGATGTCTCTGGGAGAAAGGCAGGGAGTTCCTGTCCCCTCACTCCTACCCCCCAACCCACCACCTGCCTGGGGACAAAGAAGAGAATGGAAAGCTCTTTGTCAGATGAAAAACCTCTGACTCTGTTGGATTCATTTTCACTTTTAGACTTGGCTGTGGTTCCCTCACCAAGTAATTAGCAGAGTGAGTGTTTGGAGGAGTTTGGGGGTAGAGGAGCCGGTTAACTCTTTCTGGCCACTGGGGTTCTTGGAGTGAATAATTACAAGGAGTGGTGGCCCAATAATTGGAAAGAACTCAGGACTTGGTCTCTAGTAATAAATTACAGGCTGGAAAAATGTGCACAAATATGAAAGATCACTTACTTTTAAAAAATAGATGCATATACTAAAAATAGCTATGGTCATGTAGAGAGAAAAAAGGAAGAAATTATATGTATACTTTTTGATCAAGCTTGCAACTTTCCATTTTCCTTCAATTTTTTGAGTAAAGTAGTAATTTTGTAAGATGAAGGGGAAAGGAGGAGACTAGCTAATGAGCTGAGCTTTTAGCCCAAAGGGTCATGAGAAGATGCAAGAGAATGAAAAACTGCCTCGAAGGCCACACGAGGAGAAACCTGGGGGAAGAACAGACATCCGAGATGAGATGCTGCTTCCTGGAATGCCAAGTTCATGTTGCACGGCCAACAGAAACCTCCAGGCACCTGGTCAAAAGGTCTGAAGATCACGTTTGGTTGAATAATCTGCTCTGTTCCCATTGTTTCTTAAAGGGTATACTTTATCCAATCATAATTATGTCTTAAGTTTTCCCCCCTCCTTGTTACTTTCTCTGCTGGCCACTTTTACAATGATCAGGGATAATGTAACAAAGTGGAAAGTAGACCCTGTGTGCCTTTAAAAAAATGTTTTTGGGAATTATACTAGTGCTGGGAGGACCAATCAGTAATATTTCTACGACCACAAGCACTTTCCTGCTGAAAGAGGAAAGGGTTGAGTCTGAAGAGAGAGCCAGGGCCTCTTACCTGAATAAGTCTTGCGCCACATCATCCTCGGTGACTGCATATCCCTGGGGGTCATCAGTAAAGCTGAAACCTGTGCCCACCTGAAGGGGAAATAATGAGCAGGTATAACCACAGAGAAACATGTGCTTTGGAGCCCTGCAGAGGGTCACTACACTGGAAGGAAATAGATCTGTTCCAAGGGCCACGCCTCTGACCTGGGCTTTGTGCCATCGCCATGTGCACTTAGTCATCCTCCCAGGAGGATGCGACCTTCCACCTACTTCCCTTCCCCCCTCCAAGCCCGAATACAAAGCATCAGCACAAAACTCTGCCTGAGGTCAGTGGCCAAGCTGTCCTGATTCGCAGTGGGGACCCTGCCAGATGTTGATTTAAGGACCAGGAATTCACCTTTCCTTGGCCCCTGCTACAGTATCAAAGACCCAAAGCTGTCTCCTCTCTGAAACCTGGAGAGTGCATTGCTGTCCTGCCAAGAAGGAACTCTCTAGGCTGGAGGTCCCAGATCGTGTGAAAAATATGGCCACTAACCCCTTTCACCTTCAGTGAACAAGAGGTTTTAAAACAATTAACATTTAGTTTTAAACTCACGTTTCCTTCTACCGAGAAGTTCATAGATAACTGAGTTGTAACTAAAAGAAGCTACTACTTATTCTGCATGAATAATTTGTCTAAGGAAGACACCACCCACAGGATATAAATATTTTCCCCCTGAAACACACAAGGGAACAGGACATTTAATTCAATGTGTATTTTAATATTAGTGGCCCGGTGCACAAAATTCGTGCACATTAAAAGGGGGCTTAATTAGAGGAAATATTTTAATATTACTATATGTCCTTTCTGTATGATAGAAGTGTCAGAGATGAAAGAAAATTAGTAAAAATGTATATGAAAATCTCCTTCCTGTCAGAGTCTGAGGTGCACCCTGCCCACCCGCATGCACCTTGAAATTGTGCAAGACCCAGACCCTGCCAGCCTCACTCCCATCAAACTCCACAGAGAGGAGGCACAGCCTCAGGTCCCCCAGCCTGGTGCCAGGTGCAGCCTTAGGTCCCCTGTCAAGCTCTGCAGGGTGGGGTGTGTGGCCTCAGGTCCCCTGGCCCGGCTTCAGGTCCCCTGGACCCAGCACGAGGGCAAGAAGGTGCAAGGGCATGAGGACCATTTGCATATTTCTTTATTATCTGGGATGCAATTACTGATCAGGAAAGAGAATGGTTGATGGGGAAGAGCAGGGACAAGAATGCTGGGATGTTTTTCCTTGCTATTTACTTGTTTTCTTTTTGGGAAGTGAGAGGGGTTAAAGAAATGAGGGGGCACACATTCACACTCCTACTCTGCAGCTTATTGGACTCAGTTTCAGAAGAACTTCCCAAGGAGAAGTGTGCTTTCTGTGCAGAGAAGAGGCATTCTGCCCGCTGTGACCGTGAAGAAGACCAGTTTTGGCTTTTTATATCTAGAATTCTATTGGAAAGGTTAGGAGTCCTGCCACCATATAATAACCAGGACATCTGGAAGTCACATCATCAGTGGAAAGAAATGAATCCCTCAACCTGGATAATGTCATTCAATGAACAGGGCATTCCATAAGACTGACGGATGGAGAGAAAGCACTAAGCAAAATCCCCAAACTTGGATGTAATAATCCATGAGAAAAACTACATCTAAAAAATAAGTTTTAATAGATTAGATTTTACTTTAAAAAGAACAAAACTAAATCTCTATTTCCCTTTACCCCTATTTCTTAAATGTACTGAATCAAAAGGACAAAGATGAGAGGCCCTCATTGCCCTGTCATGGGCTGCCTATACTCACTGGATTATCGATGTAGAGCATGGACAGGGTGTTGGTCCAAGGAAAGTCTCGGGCACGCACTGGGGAAAAAGAGAAGAGGTTAGCGAATCATTCGTTAAAGGAACATCCTACCAAAGGTCCAGAACCCAACATGCCTACCTGTCCCCACCATGTCAACATGGCGCCCCTCCAACTGCTTTGTCTTCTCACAGTGGAACGGACACCAGCCCTTTCTCCTCTCTTCTCCCTTACTTTCCCTGACCCAGAGGGTCTCTACATCTAAGAGGCAATTTTGAAACAAACCTCTGTGCAACTGCCCAGCTGGTGTGACTCAGGAGTTGAGCATCAACCTACAAATCAGGAGGTCACAGTTTGATTTCCAGTCAGGGCACATGATTGGGTTGTGGGCTCAATTCCCAATAGGGGACATGGGGGAGGCAGCCAATCAATGATTCTCTCTCATCATTGATGTTTCTCTCTCCCTCTCCCTTACTCTCTGAAATAAAACAAACCCCTATGCTACTTGGTTCATGTAGAACTCACATCAACCAACTATCCGGTATACCCGTCTCTCCAATCCAAGGGATCATCCTCATGTTCCATCCTCCCAATCCTCTTCCTCCCACCTAACGCCTAAGAGAGCAACCTCAACAGAGTTGGCACACACTTTTCTGCTGAGTCACAAGCTGGGTCATCCTCCAGATTCTAACCCAGGGAAAGTAAACACCCCCCTCCCACACCCCAGCCCCCAAAATAGATGGAGGCTAACCTGGGTTACAGCCAAAGTGGCTCCTTCTCCACTCCTTCCTTCATTCCAGTCCCCACCCACAGTATCCTGCTTCCAAGATATCCAATCACTTACGTGACTGAAGTGCACAGTGTTCAATTCCTATGAATAATTAGGGATATAATTCCATCCATTAGGACCATGCAAAAGAGCTTGCCCAAGTGGTAATAAATACCACCTGTTTTCATAGGCCCAGATTGCTTAAGTTAGCAGCAGACTGCAAGAAAATAGCTTAGAACCTTTCACCCAAATTTCAAGGGAGAAAGCAGCCCAGCCGGGAGGCTCACCCTGCTGGCCCCTCCTTCTTGGGAAGACATTGTTTTTATAATCTGGAACTGTTAAGCTCTTCCTAGGGGTTCAGTGCACACTCTAAATTACTCCTAGAGCAGATATAAGGTTCAGATGAAGAATTCTGAAAATTCTTAGGAAAACAGGGTCCAAGCAATACTTACAGGTCAGGTTCTTTGTGACAAAAAAAGGTCCATGTTCCACAAAGAGTCCAAACATGGATGAGCCTCCCGGCCCGCCCTGCAGCCATAGAACCACTGGAGCACTCTCTGGATCTACCTGGAGGGACAGAGAGGCCAGTGACCACACAGAGCAATGAGGCGGTGCAATACGCACAAACAAATTCAGGCAAATCTTCTGTCTTCCCAGTCTGGATTGCACCTCATGAAGACACCCCACACCCAGTGACCCTCTCCACCACAAGCAAAGTAACCCCCCTCTTCCGTAGTTTTGAAATAGTGTTTGCCTCATATCCTGGGGTCTACCTTATGCCATTGTCTGAGTTCTCACCAATAGTCATAGTCAGAAAACCCGATGAATACAGAAGCTGTGCCTTTGTATGTCCCTAGATACTCAGCACACTGCCTGGGACACAGTTACAGCTTTTCAGCTGTCTAAGCTTTCCAGGGACTCTACCATTTGACCTCTTTGTGCCAAAGAGGCACAAAGAATCCATCGTTCTCAATGACCGTTTGCTCCCTTCGCTGGTCTTTCTGATTTTATTCACTCAGAAGGTGTCCCCAGAAACACAGCAATTTCATTCATCACAAGGAAACTGAGAAGCATTCAGCCCATGCAAACAGTAACAAAACCCTGAACATCAGACGGGTGAATGTAGGAGATGACGAAGAGGGAATTAAGAAAAGGTCCCTGGCGGGGTTGGGATGTTGCAGCAGTGTCAATGTCATCACTCTCAATGACAGGACTCCTTAGTTCTTTCATTCAGCCCACACCTGTGCTCTGGAGCCCCTCCTATACTTTATAAATAGTATCCCATTTAATGTAGTGATAACCACAATCGGTGATTATCACTAAAGAAATAGGTAAAAATGGTAGGAGTCCAGAGTCAGAGGGGCAGGCTATAGTTCCAAGAGTCAGCACAGTATAATGGATAAGTCTGTGAGCTCTTGCCCTAAACTGGATTCAAATCTGGGCTTTGCTATCCACAAGTTGCGTGACTTCAGGCAGGTTACCTAAGCTCTCTGGACCTCAGTTTCCCCACCTGTAAAATGGGGATCAATCATAGTACTTATGCCATTTAGTTATTGGGAGGACTAAATACATTTATTTTCAGGAAGCCCAGTGGGGGGCATATAGCATGGGTTCTGCAAATGTTAGCTATTGTTATAATGGATAAATATGAGGAAGTTATAGATGCTTTTAAGGTAAACTATCTCTACAGGAGAAAGAAGAAGGGGGTGATTTGGTGCTTTTCCTTGCTCCTTTGGCCGACATTTTCTCTAATTAATTTTTTACTACTTAGTCCTCTTGCCTAAAGTGTCGTGACTGTACATAAGAAATTCAAGTGAACGAAGGACTTAGTGTATATACATTGAAGTAAGAAAAATTAAAATCAAAGACAGCTTTTCAAAGCTGCTGCAGGGAAGCAGAGTGAGCCCTGGAATTGAGAGCCAGACAAGTTCTGGTCACCTTGACCACATAATAGCTGTGGGGTTTTTTTGGGGGGAGGGTCCTGGCCCTCAGTATCCATCCATCCAATGGTGATAAAGCCCACCTCATAGGCTTGCCCGCGGCCCCGATGAAAAAATACATATTGGCACAACACTCTAAACTCTCCGGTGCTGAATAAATACAGCCAGCTCCAACTGTGTGTATTTTGTTTGAAGAAGTGATTTTTATCTCCGCTCAGATCCTCAAAGCTGCTATTCAATACCACTCACCAGGACCACCTTCCACTTGTATTCATGCCGTAGAAGATACTAGTTGGGGAGAAACAATAGGATCTGAGTGGAATAAGTTCTAGCCCCCAGGAGGTGAACTAGAGTGAGCCCACCCATCAGTGGACATCCAGCACCCCACCTCAACCCACACACACTCTTCCTTCCTTCTTTCCTTCCTTCCTTCCTCCCTAACGGGCACCTGAGCTTCTAGAAACCTCGGTGTGCTAAACGCGAGCCCCTGATTCTCAACCTCGGTTCCCATTAAAATAACCTAGAGAGCTTTAAAACACACATGCCCAAACAATCAAACAAAAAACTACTGCCCAGGCCCAAATCCCAGAGCTTCCAAATCAATTGGTACGGGGTGAACAGACATCAGTCTTTTTAAAGTTCCCTCACGGTTCCATGTGCAGGTAGGGATGAGAATCTGGCTGGACCATGGGGGGGTGAGGGGTTGTCCTTTTGCATGCCCTGGGCTATCTGGTCTCCACCCTATCCTCCCAGCCTTTCATGTCCCTTCCTGTGGCCTGGCACAATGAGGGAGCTCCCACTCTCAGAAAAATAGCCTGATCCTGAGAGGCACACTACAAAGTCAAGCTGAGCACCTTGGTGCCAAACATCTTTATTACGCAACTTGGAAGGCCAGGTCACTGCATTCTTGGGATGCTTACACACTAAGAGACCTGCTTGCACACCTCTCACCTCAGCCGCCCTTGCTCCTCGAATTTACTTTCCTGAAGGAAGTGCAGAAGCTCAACCACCCTTGAACAAGCCCGTTTTTTAAAGGAAACTCCATGCACACATCTTTCTTCCCTGACAGGCCAACCAACCTGTGAACTAATACTGCCCTTGTCTGGAATGACATGCGAAAGTCAGATGCTGGAAGATAAAGATTTACAAGGTCAATGCTAGAAACCTGAGTTAGGGTTATCACAGTATGTAGACTTTTTAAATATCATGCGACATTGTAATATAATACCATATAAAATAATTATTCCACAAGAATGGCACAGAGTTATTAGGTGACAATTCTAAGGGGATATACTTAGCCCTCCATCAGGAGAATGCAGTCCTTCTCGCACTCTCCGCCCAGCAATTAGGCAAGAATAAAAGGGAAGGAAAACATACTGAACATAAATACATTGCAGAGCTTGTGGTCAAATGAAATAAGAAACTGCTTTAATTCATTCACAGTTTTTTTTTTTTTTTACAAAATTTAAGGCTAAAAATATTTATTGTTTGAAGCCTTGATTCAAGAGTGTGTGAAGCCAAGAGAGATAGGGCATTGATTTTTGCCAAAAGTTCTAAAACTTTTACTTAAAACATTTTATATTACAAAGAAAGGACTTATTCGTAATAATTTTTATTCAAATAGGGTATACGAAAGTTTCCTGGAGATGATCATCGGATGTTTAGTCTTTCAGATTTTTCTGATAATTATGTATGCTATATAATATTTTGTTCAAAAATAGTATCAAGGCTATAAATAATACTCTGTGTTTGCTGTATTCATTTATTAACCTGCTGTGAAAATTTCTTCATGTCAGTGCATATCATCATCTAGCTGAGGAATATGACACTGAAGTTATGACAATGTATTAATTCATTAAACCTATACCACAGACTATCTATACGCCTTGTTCTAGAGCTGGGGATGGAGACCCGTTCCCACTCGTGGACAGGTCATATACTGAATGATTAAGAGCATGGGTTTTGGCACCAGACTGCCAAGGTTTGAATTCCAAATACATGATTTTACAGCTGTGTGTCCTTGGGCAAGTTGCTTAACTTCTCTGTTTCTCAGTGTCCTCTGCTTAAAAATAAGAAGACCAAGAATGTTTATCTTATATGGTTATGGTGCAGATTCAACTAATGAACATATGCACAACACTCACAGCAGTGCCTGGCATACTTATCTAAACGTTGGATCTGATTAATTTTTCTGGTGAGGTGGAGTGTAAAGAAGTAAATAAATGGGGGCTACTGGAGAGCAATGGAGGGACAGGATAGTGAATACTTAAAGAATGCCTCTGGTGATAGCTTAACACTTGGGCTGAAAGATGAGTAACCCCCTACTGATAAGCATTTATATATTTAATTAAAAATCAAATCAAATCTCTCTTAAGGACAAATAGGTTAGAGTAGTGTAGCAAGTGCTGATAATTAAAAAAAGGGACAAATAAATTCCAAATATAAAGAGAATTCTACATAGTTAAGTGAGAAGTCTCTCTTGCAACTGAAGAGTATGGGCCTGTGGCTCCCACAAACCAGCATTTCTTGTTAATGAACAATAAACTATGACTTTGCCTCAGAAGCCCTCTTCAATTCTCTGGTGACCCCTGGTGGCCAACTTGAACTTGTGCACGCTTTCCTCTGAGTTGGCTCCAGAATGAACCCAGAAGGAGGCAGGTTATCTATTCCAGTTTTTTGTTTGTTTGTTCATTTGTTTGTTTTGTGTGACTTCCTTTTTTTTTTTTAAATCCCCAAAGGAGAATATTCCGCAATTTCTCACATCAGCGCATTCCATTGTCCTGATGTCTTTACAGGTTGCCATTTGAAGAAAGTAAAACTCATTTATTTGGTTGCACATTCTGTGTATAGAGATTCTTAGAAACTGGGAGGTTTTTCCTTTCTCCTGGCCTCTAAGCGAGCATAGTGGAGCTAAGCTAGTACTAATCCTCTTGCCCCATTGGACTTGTCCCCTATGCATAGCATCCCCTGATACTCTGAGTCTTCCTTCCACCCCACCCCCCATCCAGCCATACCCGTCTTCTGGTCCATCCCCACAAGCCTCTTCTATGTAACATGGTAGAGATAACCTTCCCTTCAGGTCTTACACATACCACTGAGGCAGTACGTTCATACCCTGGGGTGTGGGGGAGGGTGTCGACTAAGGACGTCAATTTCAGCACTCTCAGGTACCATGACTGTATTTACGCAGAGGACTCACTGAAGTGGCTCCAGGCAATCGTGGGTATCTCAGCAAATATTAGGGCAATATTTTCTGCCAATGCCCAGGGCTGGGTATATAGTCCAGCCAACCCCTATTTCCCATCCCCAACAAGGAACACCACACTTTATAAGAGAAAACAGCAACTAAACCGCCAACAGACCAAGATCAATGGTATGGCTTAAGATGAGAAGCACAACTGGTAAATTAATTAAGGCTCTCTTCGCACTTCTATTTGCAGAGGTGGATCATCTGTTTGGTTTAAGTAACATGCTCTATCTTAATGGAAGTCATTAGTGTCCCCTAAGTGTGTTTGAGTGGACTCCCATTTTGTCATAGAGATTCCAGTTCAGATGATACTTTAGCTGCTACACTAATAGTGTTTATCAGGGCAGAGCTTTTTATTTCAAGCTATTGGTTCATTAACT